AGAGTTCTGCGTTTTTGTTAACGGTACTTGTTTTTATTTTGCGTGAGGCAACTTGTGTTGTGCTTGGAATGGTTTCGATGAATCTGTCCAATATACGCCATATATTCGTCACTCGTTCATAATCGCAAAAGTAATTGATTTAGCGCGCTACTTCTGCAGTGGGTCCCGAGAGATGGATGATTTTTCAATGTCTTCTTGTGGCTTTTTTGTAACCTTTAGGTAATTCACTGCTTCTGTTTGCCCATGAATTTTACAGAAACGCTGATGGAACTTGGCATTCTTAAGTTTTTCTATGACATTTATCAACAATTTCTACTTGACACTCTGGACCATTTCCACTTGATACTCCACGATTCCTTCTCATACAGTAAGCAGGGAGTGTAGAAGATGGCCTCTGTGGCGTAGCGGTTAGCGCACTGGCCCGACAGGCTTATGTGCAAAGTTCGAGTTCGTATAATGACAATCAGTTGCGCATAACTCAGTATTCCTTTATATATACCTTTAATTTGAAACTTAATGTAAGCCCGTCCTATCAAACCAGATTAGTTGAAGTGATTTTCGCAGTCGAACCTCAAGCTGAATCAAAGCCATGATACAATATGCTCTACAACTTTCAGTGTCGTCGTACTCGCTATGTGCTGTCGGCGATGACCCCAGGAATTCGAGACAGTTGGATCACGGCTCTTCAACAGAATAGGTAGAACTCCAATCAGTATCCATTCAATACATTGGGGTTTCACAGGATTACTTGACCTAATAACATTTGTATTTTAGGCACAATCCATCTCCTACGTACGCCGAGACGTGCGCTTCAAACGACACAGTGAGTATGGCGGATAGTTCAGACATCCTTGGCATGCCCCTGGTACGTCCCTAGTTGTCATTACTACAAATGGAGGTGAAAAGATTGTCCACGAAAAATGTGTCCTAATCCCTTTGATAGTTCACTGGGTCGGCCCCCACGCAGTTGAAACTCACAAAATTCATCCATCAAGGGAAAACTGCGGTATCCTCTTCATTAAGATTTAAATCAACACTACTATCACTCTGAAGGCAAGTTGTACGTTCACTT